GATAAAGCAATGAGAATGGAAACATCTTTGTTGACTTGAAATTGTTTCCTATGTACACTAGATGGCAGTATTGGTCTAAAAGGAACTCGATTCATTCTGCATTGCCATTATATGGGGGGGCAGGGGGTCTTTAAAATGAACTTTATATAAACATGCAAGCACAGGTTTAGATTAGAAGAATTAGAGCGACTGTAAAATGTGCACAAGTGTATACAATGTTCCTTGAAGTTGTAGTTTTGCATGTAGTTGTGCATGGTAGTGTAATGATGGTTCACTTATCAGGAGAGGCTCTGCAAGATTTCAGCTGACACTCTGTTGACACTGATGGCTAAAGCTGTCCCTCATGCACTCACTTTCACATTAAAACACTTTCCTGCCCTAAGTCACAGGCAGAGATGCTCGGCTTGGAATGTGGTAATAGTATTTCGATTATTAACCTGATATTACTATGGTATCCTCTTTTATGCTAACAAATAAACTGATTTGTCTGCCGTGTGACACACAGCAGAGTTCACTGCCATTCTCTACTTTCATAATGAATTCTTAGCAGGCAGTGCTTGCTCTACTGTCACTAGTCTGAAGCCACTGACATTTTCCAGACCTTAACCTTTTTTAATTATGATGGATTAAAAATATCTCTGGTGTTTGTATAAAATAATTAGCCTTATTTGTGTGTGCAGGCCTTAAAAAACAGTCTGATAATCCTGTATTTGCTCTTTTGCAGTCAATGCGAATCCGTGTAGATATGGCAGCATTATTCTTCCCTTTAGAAGTAGAGAAAATAACTAATTTTCTACTACAAAGTTGATGTATTCTGAAACCTCAACCTGTGGTCCGTACAATACATCTGAAATCAAGTATTTAAAAACATATTTTTATTAACTGATGCCAGGATAAAAGATAACTGGCTATAAGTTTCTGGTTTATGACTTGCCTTTAAAACAACTGATGTTAAACAACATGGGAAAGCACAAATGAGAACGCCATATGGAGGTTGCAAGGCCTGTCAAGGTATTTTTAAGACACACATCAAGAACACTGTTCTCATGTGTGACATTATAATAAAATCAAAGCAAACAGCCAAGGTAGCATGCAAAAAATTTTGGATTTCCACAAGTCCGGTAGCTAGTTTTAGGATACCTAAAAGTGTCATATGTTGGGGCATTTATATGTGAGCTTAATCACCATGGGAATGTCAAGCCATCCAACAGAGTAAGGATAATTTTGATGTCCCAGTAATGAACTAGCTCTGGTGCAAACTGTGTTAATCCACCGCAACACAAAAGCACAAGACCTACTGAAGCTACTGGCTGAATCTGTATCTAATTTGTAAATGCAAGACATTCAATCTTGGAAATGGTGCAATGAAATTAAAATAAAATAAAAAGTTTAGAATTAAAGGGCATTGTTAAAATTAAATGAAATGGTTTAGAAGGCATTAATAACAAAAGAAAAAGAAGGAGACTTAGCACAACTTGATTTCTTAAAGAAATAAAAAAAAAAAATCGGTAATTCAGTGATTAAGAACATTGCAGGAAATCCTAACTGACCTAAACAAGGACATTTTTAGTCTTATCTAATGTCAGTGAGTGAAAAATCATCCTTCTACACAGTGTGTGTAAACAACTGTTTTTTTTAACTGAATATGTTTTGCAAATGTAAAACTGATCCTTTAATATGTGGGCCATGATTTTATTTTTGTAACATCTAATTTTACCGAGCAGCTTCCAGACCAGGGGTCAGGTCTTCCCAGTGTCAGCGATTACATTTTTAGTCACTACTACCGGTAAATGAAATGTGAGGTTAAATCAAGTCAAAATTGGCCAAAAAAAAAAAAAAAATCCTCCTAAAGCTTAAGAAATTACTGTTACAGTTCTTAAGCTCTGAAGTTTACTGAAAAGTAGCTGTATGGTCTTATGGTGTGTTTCGGAACTTTATGCATGGATCTGTGCAGTCATCACATTATTGACAGAAGGTAAACTGATAATATGACTTTCTCTTAGTAGGGATGTAAACAAATAATTGGCTTTTAAATTATTAGATTAAAATGCGTTTCATCCTATTAATGGATAACACTCACTTAAAAGGCCCCTTTTTTGTAATGTTACCGCCGTCCATCAGAGGACAGTGCTGTTCATCCTGTAGCTGAACCTCTCTGGTATTTGCAAGAGATGTAAAGCCAGAGCAGAGGCTCGCTATAGTAGAAGCCTGAATCGATCCAGATTCCGGTCCAGGATTATTTACACTGTTTAATAGAGACAAGGATGCAGAATGCACTTTATGCTGTTCTTCTTGTAAATATAAACACTCAATAAACTCTTTTATCACCTCAATAGTGCCCATTTAGCAGGGCTGCATGGCGAAGCAACGTAACTTCTCTGATGTGCTCGAAGGTGGGGATGTGATTATGGAAAAGTGGAGGGCATTACAAAATGTTTGTAATATGATAGAAAAATACATGCTGTACAAGCTTGGTAGAGGAGGGAGGGCTTTTGTAAGTTAATGCATTCCATAGAGCCAAGTTTTAAAATGCCTCTGAGAGCAACCAGAACATTTAGTTTAACAGCACTGCTAGCAGCACATGGTCTCTCCCACCACCGAACACTGAATTACACTAAATACAGAGAGTTATATCACAGTTACTGTTTATGTCATTGAAACAAAACGGCAAAAAGTCTGACAGCATGTCCTAGCAACATACCATGTCTTTAAATAATAGTTTTACATCTCTATACAATCACGAGTCTCAAATATTTTTTAAAATCTTATTCAATTCAGTAACCTAATAGGTACTTGTTTTGTTATATTTTATAAATAAGTTAATTTATGTGCGAGAAAACATGTTTTTGTTAATTCTGTTGGTATTTAATACAACTAGCACCATAAATTGTTAAAATATAACGCTGTAACATTTTTTTTTAATTCAGCTTATTGTAAAAAATGATTTAGCCTCTTATGTTATAAAACGATCCTGTTGATATTAGAGAAATTTTAGGACCTATTTTCAATTAATATTTAGTTGAATGAGATCAATCAGCTTTAGATAAGTTCATTAATCATTAACATGCATCCTTGCCCTAAGTTACCTTATAAGGGATATGCAAACATTATACATTTGCAGATACATTTTAAATACAGAGCCCTCCAAATGTAGTTTGAAGTTTTATCAGTTTTGGTAATATCACATCCTTCAAATCTGAAAGTCTTTTACATGATCTAAGTTTGCTTTTTGTCCAGGAATAACCTGTATTTAAGTTGATACATCTTCCTATAAAGGCCCTCTAGCCTCCCCGTGAAGCCAAAGAAATAGTAATGAGCACCTTCTTTCAAATGTTTACTGTGTTCATGACTTGTGCCAAATTGCAAACTTACATTTGCTGTCTTTTAACTATTACTTTCTCTTTGTAACTATTCTATAAAGACCAGACTGTCTTCTTAAAACATATTCCAACCTGAGCTCTGGATCTCTGCAGTACCTTCATGGTTTAAGTCCGTGCTGCTTCACTAACTAATAATCATTCTTATTCTGTTTGTCTATGACAGGGGTCATCAATATTCGTTTACATTTTTTTTTTTGCCTCTGTCCACCAAAAAAAACACACTTTTTCAACATCCCAAATGTTAACTGATCTATGGAAATAGAAGAACTGTTTTTTGATAAATATTTACTATAGGAATGTTGTTGTTGTGTTTTTAAGTTTTGAAATAAGCAAAGCATTTTTTTTTTTTTTTTTGCGAAAAAGAGGATGGGTACATTTGCTTCTAAGGGATGTTGATTTTTTTCGAAAATAATGTATAACAAAAATCCACTTACATCCATCCAATTCCAAAAAAAATGAACATGGATCTAAAAAAAATGCTACTGATCCTTTTGATTTTAGTTAGTTGTGGAACATCTAGTTAGTAATTCATTGAAAAAAAAATTTTTTTTTTTTTTTTATTATTCAAAAACTTTATTTGTTCAATTTTAACTATAACTATTAAACCAAAAACCATTATGAGCCACCCTGCAAGGTCAAAACATCCACAGGCCACTGCTGACCCCAGGTTTAGGTAGATATATCAAGTTTAAAGATTTGTCATACACCCTAAATTTTAGTCTGATTGGTTGATCAGTTAACATTCTGGTTACCGGTAATTAAAAACTCAAACATTTTAGAAATCTCCCCACATTCTGCCATCTTCCTTGGGCCTTATGATGCAGCTGGGTCACAAAGGCTTTGACAGAACACCTGCATTTAAGAGATGATTAGACAAAGCTGGACTCCAGTAATTAATTAGGTGAATTCAGGGGTAAAGTGCAGCTCTGGGTTTAACGTTGGGGTGAACACGTATAAAGTGTGTAAATGCAAACTTTGTGGTGAATCAGTTCTCTAAACTACCTCTGGTGCAGGATGCTGTGTTGGTTCCTGTTAGAACAGTGTAGATTGACCCTGAGCTCTCTGGTGTACGGAAGAGGATTAGGGCCACTGGGAAAAAAAAATAAAAGTTAACTGATTTTTAAATTTTATTTCAGTTTAGTATGGGAAAAAAGTCAGAATTCTGACTTTAATCTCAGAATTCTGACTTTTTTTTCTCAGAATTCTGATTTTAATCTCAGAATTCTGACTTTTTTTCTCATAATTGTGACTTTAATCTCAGAATTCTGACTTTTTTTCTCAGAATTCTGACTTTTTTCTCAGAATTCTGATTTTAATCTCAGAATTCTGACTTTTTTTCTCAGAATTCTGACTTTTTTCTCAGAATTCTGACATTAAAAAAGTCAGAATTCTGACTTTTTCCCATATTAAACTGAAATAAAATTTAAAAATCAGTTAGCTTTTTTTTTTTCCCCAGTGGCCCTAACCCTCTTCCGTACTGGTGTCTTTCGGCCACCCCTATTAGGATTTTCTGGCTACGCCTCTGGTGACAGCCTCTCTAATCTGCATAACGGAATGAGAGGCATTTTGCAGCCGCTCACAGGCGGTCGAGGTGGGAGGGGAATCATTACGTAGAGAGCCGCTCAGTCTGTGTGTGCGCAAAGTTTCCTGCGCCTCGACCATCAACTTCTTCTATTGACATGAACGCGCTTCGGCGGCTACTAACGCAGCTTATGCGGGGATAGGAAGCCGTGATCGCGGGTGCGGGAAGACCCGGTCCGGCCCGCATCTGGAGCTGGATAATATGGGTCAGACAGCTGTGTCTGCCGTGTCTCAGTCAGCCAGTGGTGAGTGTGTTTTCTGGCTCTCTACATGTGAGTGAGTGAGTGAGTGAGTGAGTGAGTGTGATGTCAGTCTGCCTTCCTCTTCTCACACACAATCCGCTATCTTTACCCAGGAAGTCTACTCTCCCACCCCCTCCTCGCTCTCTTTGTTTAGTTTAAGTTTTATTTCACTTAAGAAAAACTTCAAACTTTCTAACAAACCGCTAAAGTAAAGCCCTTTGTGCTAATCCAGCGAACTGGATGTGCGTAAAACCAATCCCCGCATCTTTATCCGCAGGGTGTGTGTTTCTAAATTTATCGCTGGCTGTGTTACCCAGCTGTCATAAAAACTAGTTAAACAGCCAGTGAACAAGCAGGCGCTGGAGGTTTATAACCAAAGCTTGTTTTACGGCTTCATTGTTGCGTCCAAGTAATGAAAACTTGATGAATTTTGCAGCAACCTCTGTGGTTCAGATGAGCTGAAAGTCTTGATTGTTTATTCGTGCAAAAATCTTAACTTGAACTAATTAATTCTTTTACTTTTCACTTGCATTAAAGAGTTAGAGGTCAAGAGCACTTACGGTAATAAAAAGAAAGGGCGGCAGATTAAAGTTAAATATGTCTATATTCAATTAACTCACGCCTGTTTTTTTTTTTTTTTTTTTTTTTTTTAGAAAAGCTTTATCAGGAAATGTCACAACTTTAGAGATTTGGCACTGCAGAGATCAACTTTTAGTCTTCAAATCTAAGACCTATTGAGTCTGAAAAAAAGTGTTAAAGATGTAGTTAGAAGGCTGGAATATGAATCAGTTTTCATCTGATCTGGTATCAGCGCTGAGGCTCCTTTTATGCAAAGATGATGGTGTTCTAAATGCATTGCATTTTTTCCCTACAACTTGCCAATGCAGTCAGACCTTGATTGAAGCCATGCCTGATGATCTTAAATGTAAATGCAGAAAAAGGATTAAGCTTACAACCCTGATATCAACATAACTTACTGTGAAGTACAGTGGTGGCAGCATCATGTTATGGGGGTGTTTTTGTCCTGAAGGGACTTGCAAACTTCAGAAAATAGATTGCCTTAGGTGGAAAGAACATTATATGAAAACAATTAAGCAATATCTCACGATATCAACCAGGAGGTTGAAAATGGAGACATAGGTTTTTCAAGAGTTTGGTTCTGATGCTAAATGAGTCACAAACTGGTTGAAGGAGAACAAATTCAAAGCTTTCCATTACCCCTGTACAACCTGGATCCTAGTCCCAATGAAAATGAATAGGCAGAGCTGAAAAGGAAGCAGTGAAACTAGAGAGTGACCGATTTGTCGGCTGGCTGATAAGCCGGCCCAATACTTTCATAATTTTTATATTTTGATATATAGGTCAGTGTGTTTGCCGATTCGTGTGTGCATTCAGCATCCATGCCTGGAGATCATGTAAAGCAACTGCATTGCTGCTCCTTCTATTGGCCATCTATGTTTAACGTGCTTTGATTTGATAGTACACGTTTCTTTTGGTCTTAATTGAGACCTCTTTAACATTTATTGAAGTGTCATTTTTTATCATGTCAATGAAGAAATAGAAACATCAACTTCAAGAATTGACCTCAAAAAATCAACAGCACATATCGGTATGGGTTAGACTGATTTAGGTAATAATTGTTTTTGACATTGATCTAAACAACCTCCAGCAACCTATTGGAAACCTGATTCCTTTACAGTTAGACCCAATAAAAAAAAGTATTCTGAGAGGCTGGTGAGGGAATACTGAAAGTGGTGTTTGAAAATATGAACCTCACTTAAGTAGATTTTAAGGACAGATTTGCATCACAGTTTTATGTTGGCCATTTCATGCTACTATATTTAGTTAACATTTATAAGGAACACTGGTGACATTAGAGTTTGCCAACAGACAGTAATTTACATATGCAAACTAATATGACTTGTAGGTTGAGTGGATGAAAACAGTGTGATGAAAGCATCAAGAGCTGCAACTTTGAGAAAATTTTAAAAGAAAGCCAATTTAGTTTTGGGAGGGAAATGTGAGGAATGAACTGCAGCAGGAGTCGCAGCTTCTAGAGCGGTCATAAACAGACATATCTGGGAAAATGGGCTCTGCAGCTGGTGAATTCATCATATTAGTAGGTGCATTGATTGCAGTTTTCTGGCTAATCACAGGTTAAAGCTTTAAAAATGTTCAATATTTTATTGTAAAACATTGAATGATACTTATGAAACAATAAACACTTATTTTAACCGCACAAGATGTAGTCAAATATATTTTTGAGCTTTGACAGTAGATGGTTTTTAGACCTTTTGTGAAGTAAAATAAGATTTGTTTCAAATGTAAGCATTGGCATATCATCGATCGCCAAATTTAAACCATTCAATTTGTTCACCCGTAATTTTGAGTTGAATTCTGGAATCAAAGGTCCTGGGACTGATAGAAGAATGTAAAGGCACATTATTGTTATCTCCTTAAGTCCAGCACTAAGTTCCACAGTCAGTGATGATTTGAGGAACAATGTTATCTGCTGGTCAACTGTGTCTCAGAAGCTGCATTTGGGACATTTTAGAGCACTGTCTACTTCTTTTTGCTGTGAAGTTTTATAAAAATGCTAATTTCTTTTCCCAGCAGAGCTTGGAACCTGCTGACAGTGCCAGCGTTACCAATACCTAGTTTTAAGACCAAGGTGTATGAGCTTGAGGGGACAGTAGAATTCCTAAAGTCATAAGGGCTTTACTAATTCAGCCCCGGTTCCTTTATTCTGATGCAAAAGATGCAAAAGTATCAAGTAATCCATCCAATCCCCTCATCATCCCAATCAAGTATTTAATGCACATAATGTACAATGTATTGATAGATGTTTCACCTACAGAATATTTCTTTATTAAAAACTAAAAAGCAAGAAACAGACTTTATTTGTTAAAAATTATGTCTCCCTAATAATCAAAATTTAATAGAAATAAACATAAAAAAGTGAAATATAAAATCAAAATACAGAAATAAAATGACTTTTTTTTATATATTCTAATCTTTTCAGATGTAGGTCTAAGTATCCTGTTAATAGGTAAATAGAGATGGTCTTCTAAGTTATTTTCTTTTTAAATCAGAACTACCAACTCCTATAAAAGAAATTGCAGCAAACAAAACAAACAAAATTGGTAATTTGCTCTAAATTGTTGTGCTTTCCTTTTAGAATTTGGAATAATTCACATAATCTTTTTTAACAATGTCCCATCAGAACATAAAGCATAGGACAGTTATATTTGTGGTGAATAGTTACTCTGGGCTGGACTTTAGAGAAAAAACTTACCTGGGAGTTTCTGGCCATGTAAACTGCTTTCACATTTTAGTGAAATAATATAGGCTTATAAATGTACACATAAACTGATAGCCTAAAGCTATCATCACATTAGCTAAAGCTTTTAATCCAATTTGGTCAACAGGATAATCAGCATCCAGTATATAGTATTTAATGTAAACTAGGAGAGCGACAGAGTTTTTGGCCTAGTAACAAAAATAACCTCTAAACATAAATAAAATAAAAGGGACATGGAAAGCTGTTATATTTCTAAACCTACATTGTGGACATTTGGAGAAACCAACTCTTCTGCCTCACCATCTATAATTTAATTTCTTTCCACCATCTTCAGTGCATCTTTATTGGGGAAAATATTCATAAGTGGGCAGATTTAGATTGAAGTGATGTTAATTTGGTCAAGAACACATAGACAACAAGGAAGATATCTGTTAGATGTTACACAAAACATAGAACATAAAAAATATCTTCTCTCCTTGCAAGACCTGTGTTATGATTGCAAAGAAAAAACAAATTCTGCTGAGGAACCTATCTCTGCAAAAACTGGTTCAGTGATTCAAAGACGAGGCTCTCAGTTTGGCTCTTAGTCTGCTGGTGAAGTCTAATTGACATTCAGGCACTCTTCATGTCACAAACTCTGCATCAGACTGACCATATCAATGCGTTTTATTTTTCCATCATGTTTTTTCTCCCACAATGTTTACATTTTATCACTGCTGAACTCTGAAAAATGGAAATGTCATGAGAACTGTACAAAACAGAATTTCCTTTTGTATACACTCTCTGTTTACAAACGGACAATAAAGTTTGTTATATCAATGTGCAAAAACACATTGATGTGGAAGTTCAGAGCTTTTCAAGGTTGTCTGTGATGTGCACCCCCAGGAATTTGGTGCTGCTGACCGCCTCTACATCTGAGCTGTTGATGAGCTGTTAAAGTTGATGATTGTCACCAGCTGCTCCACCTCTTCTCTGTAGTCCTGGTTGTTGTCATCTCTGATGAGGACCACCACCCTGGTGTCATCTGCAAATTTCACGATGTGATTGTTGGTGAACCTGGGGATGCAGCCTTGTGTAATCAGAGTGAACAGCAGGGGGCTCAGGATGCAGCAGTGAGGGGAGCCTGTGCTTAAGACGGGCGGTACAGGGGGTAACGAGGGCCGATCAGCTTCCCACGACCACCTACCGATCAGGAATCGTGAGGTCGGGAGAAAATCGAACATGTTATATTTTCTCCCGACCGTCGTGGGCAAATCGCTTAGTAGGCATGCGCAAACAAGGATTCTTCTTTTTCTCTTTCCTCTCAGATGTAAACACAGAAGTATGGCGGGGGTGCAATGAGTGAAATGCAGTTCTTTCTCTAACATTGACAGACCATAGTAGCCACATTTGATCAGCCATGTCTTTGTCCAAATACGTCGTCGCCTTTTCTTTTTAGGGCTTTCAGCAAAAAAATTGCTAAATTGCCAAGGCAGCGCGTTTCACTCTACTGAGCTTCTTATTCCCCTTCTCTTTGTATGGCTTCCAGATAAACGAGTCCGAGCAGCTCCATCTCACTGTGGAGCTGAGTCCCACATGGTTTTTAGACCTATAGTGTGAGCAGGTAGATCGCATCAGAGCGAATTCTGACCTCCACAGATTAAATATGGAGTTGACAGTCATATACAACATCTTAAACTTTGAGGGAAGGAGACCTGCTCCA